ACAGCACCAACCTGGAGAAGAGGCAACAACAAAAGCCAAATAGACGATATTTGGATATCTACAAACAGCATACATATAATCTCAACCCCACATATCCTATCATCAATACAGGCAACTAACAGTGACCACAATATTATACAGGCTACCTGAAACCACCAATTCAATCTTACAATATCCAGACCTAAAAAGGTCAAGAAAAAAACCTTTCAATATCACAAAATGGATAAGCAACTATGGAAAGACTTCTTAAACAAGATAGATGAGAAACTCACACAAATCAATACCAATACACAACTCACAATCCAGGATTTGCCCATGCTTAATAAACAATGGCACAAACTTAATCTAGCACTAAAGTATGCAGCAAATACTGTTATACCATATACGAAAAAGGAACCTCAACCCTTCTATACCTTTTTAAAAGAGGCAACAAACTTACATCATGCACTAAAAAATATAAACAAAATTATAAAAATAATTACTACACTCCAACTGCCACTATCTATAGCCTATATACTCTTAAAACTAAACCACCTAATCGATAATATAAACAGGCTCTCAGATTTAAGCTTATTAACAATTACATATAGCGATCTAACTTTGAACAATATTACACAACTTGTCAACTCTATAAAAACACAAAGAAACACTCTATGGCAAGCAAGAAACCTTAAAAACAACAATAAGCAAACAAATCGAATTAATCAACACATAGAAAAAAGATATTGCAACTTCACAGACAACACTACAAAAATGATCACAGCATACTACATAGACACACAGACCCAGTAATCACCCACAATATCAAAAAAGCAGACGAAATTATAAACGACCCAAAGGAAATCAAGGCAGAATACCAAACCCACTTTGAACAATGGACCAAATACAATCCACCAAATACAACACTATGGCACCTCTGGGAAGAGAAATATAAAACTAAAAAACACATCAATAGCAACTAGTATAATAACGTAACGACCCCGATTACAAAAAAAGAAGTTACAAAGACCATTAAAGAAGTCTCCACAAACAAAGCAACAGGGCCTTCAATGATCTTAAATGAAATGCTTAAACACCTATCTCCCATGGCACTAAAACTTATTACATATATATATAATAGCTGTATACAACTATCACAAATTCCCCAAATGTGAAAACGAAACTTAATCTTCCCTATATCTAAAAAATCAATCTTTACAGGCTCCTTAACTGACACTAGGCCTATCTCCTTAATTGAACACACCCACAAGATCCTCACCAAAATCATTACAAACAGACTCAACTAAACACTTACCAGATACTCAATACTTTCACCTTCTAACCACGTTGCATTACTGCTCACCTCTACAATGTATCCTATTAATATATTAACTCATATACTTAAAGATACACACATTAACGATAAAGAATTTTGGATTCTTTCCCAAGACATTCCATTACTTACTAAAGCATTACTCAGGATAAAAACCCCAGAACCTATCACAGACTTGATCACCAATATCTTTACAGCGAGAACCAATAAAGTTATTACTACATATAGTATCTCCAAATCCTATCTGATACACGACGGGATAGATCAAGATGAAACAATAACGCCATTACTATAATGTATATACTACGATCCCCTAATATACACAATTACTAATCAACATCAGTGATATACTCTTACCACTCACATTAAAAATGAATCTAATACACACAACTCCCATACCTCCTATCTAGCATATATGGATGACACCATATGGATTGCTCAATCCAAGCGATCTCTGGAACTCATAATCTATATCACAACATCCTTTTACAACATGGCCAACATAAAAGTAAACCCAAATAAATCAACTCTAGCTACAAATACCAAACCGAATTATGCACAAATCACTTTTAACCAACAAATCATACAAAATATCCCTTCTGACCAAGCCTTTAGATTTCTAGAATGCTAGTTCTCCAGAACCTTTTCTCACAAACCCACTCATACCATCATTACTGACGAAATTACAGCAGCTATATGAAAGCTACGACATGCAAAAATAATAGACAAACAAGCAATATACATTATTAACTTAGTAATTCTTATCTGATTTGCTTACCGGATCCAAAACACCTTCCTTTCAAGCTCACAGCTAGACAAAATTACCAAATCTTACACCAACCTCACCAAACACAAAGCGGGGTCCACTAGTACTATCCAAGCTCGACACTATTCTACAACCGAATCTACGGTTTAAAAACAATGCACAATACACAACAACTACAACATATCAGAAATTCTCTAAAATTCTTAATCATCCATCCTTTGGCACATCCGCACTAAAAATAAGGCTACAACATCTACAAAATTTTGCCACTACAAACCGCTCGATCCTTACTCATAAACCTATTTTTTCATCACCAGAAATAAAACAACTACCGTACAAATAATACTGGAACTCCACAAGGTCCAATTTACTTTACACAATGATAGTAATACCTGGCCAATACCAATGAATCAAATAGGAACCTCTATCAACAGTATACTATACTCAAACCTGAAAGCCTCAATTATAAAAGGAAAACTAAATACGCATCATATCTACTTTATTGAACAATTAACTAATTCTTCTCATATACAACTCTTAACCTGGCAGAAATCACACCACAATACACAAAAAATACCTAGAGGCAGACAACCTAAGTGGTACAACACCCTCCTAAATGATATTGCTGCAGCAGAAAATATTCATAATCAGCTTGTTCAACCTAACCCCTTCACTATACCACCTATAAATAATCAATATATTGTATAGGTCTATCACCCGCGACTTCAAGTTTTTGGAAAATTTTCAAAAAGGAAAAACCAAACTATCATTTTTTGACATTGGAAACAAGTATCAAACAACTCTCAACAACTAACCAAATGCATGTAATGCAGACTTAGCTCTCCAAATCAACAATGCTGCTATCTCAAAGATTCTGCGCAAAACTTAATACATATACAAGTGGACAAAAAGAAATATATACATGCCAACATCAAGGATCTAAACACAACTCCTATACAACCCTGCTCCAATACTACAAAACAACTACAAAAACACACCTTTACTATATATAAAGACCAGATTTCAAAAAACCTAATGAAAGCTACACCCAATCTGCAACAGAAATTATGGAAAATATACAGGTCTCTTCATAGGAAAAAAGCACTGAATGCTAATATAAATATACAACCTAATAGCACAAACTCAATACACAACCCTACAGCCTGCTGGACAATAGCAGACACACCTCTTGATCTACAAATCTCAAATCTAACTTGGCCTCTAAAAGAAAAGCTTTGCTAACAGCACTATTAACTCTAATTACGCAGTACCCTATACATGTGTACTAAACATTTCTACAGATGAAAAACAACTAGCTCATGACTTTACAGACATAGTTCAAACCCTCCACATACCTTGCCAATAAATTGCTATCTACAACCTTTGGAATTTACAAAGCAACCATAAAAGCAGCAATCATGAGGAAAGACTTAACAGTACAAATAACAACTACAAACACTGCAATCAAACCAAATATCACAAGCACAACTATCGCTACTGAAATCAACACAAAGATGATACTGCATAACATTTACACTCCCAAACTAAACTATCACGCATTTCTCCACAACCCAAGAAGCTTACTAAGGCATTTGCAAAATGCGAAAAACATAGTAGACTGGCACAACCTAAATAGAATACACCGATGGAACTTAGACCCAAAAGAGATCAACTGGGAGCTTACCTTCAACTTTATAAACTATCATAATAGCCCTCTAAATCGATATACACATCCTACTCAAACCAAAATCAAAACCTTCAAACTAAAATTAATAATGGACGAACTTCCAACACTTCTT